CCACCGTCGCCGGAAAATTTTCCGGTGACATGGGTTGAACCGTTTCAATCCTGTGATTTCAAATCCGAAATCCGTTTTATAAAATTCAAAGTATTTAGAGATCTTCGAACGATTTAAAATAAGACAGTTTAACCGTAAGACTTACCATTCGATTAACGTTTTTTTTTCGGTAGTAAATATTTTTGAAAAATAATTTGTTGATTAAGATTATTATATGATAATTAATTATAGGTGAAGAAAATCTCGAGGTTATTGAACACAGGATCGAGGATTAGAGCGAATCTTTCGGAGTTCATCGTTTAGACCAAGGTGAGGGGACTCGACAGAACTCCTCTTTCTTCTATTCGCTTAGACATGATGATAGAGAATATAGATATCATGCGGTTAGGACTTTAGGATAGACGCCTTAAATTCCTTGTTGATTGATGATTGATGATTGATGATTGATGATTGATGATTGATGATTGATGATTGATGATTGATGATTGATGATTGATGATTGATGATTGATGATTGATGATTGATGATTGATGATTGATGATTGATGACGATTGATGATTGATGAATAATGAATGATGATTGATGATTGATAAACGTTTTTTTTTCGGTAGTAAATATTTTTTTGAAAAATAATTTGTTGATTAAGATTATTATATGATAATTAATTATAGGTGAAGAAAATCTCGAGGTTATTGAACCCGGGATCGAGGATTAGAGCGAATCTTTCAGAGTTCATCGTTTAGACCAAGGTGAGGGAACTCGACAGATCTCCTCTTTCTTCTATTCGCTTAGACATGATGATAGAGAACATAGATACCATGCGGTTAGGACTTTAGGATAGACGCCTTAAATTCCTTGCGGATTCATGATGTATGTTGATTGATGATTGATGATTGATGAAGGACGATTAATGATTGAGAATCGATGATTTATGAATAATGCATGATGATTGATGATTGATAAATTTCCGTTGAGTGATTATGGTTTATGACGCACATGTTATGTGATGACGTTTTTTTTAATAGGTTATTAGCTCGTTAGAATGAGTTGTACTTATGATATTAAATAAACTTTGGCATGATGTTTGGAAAGATGAGAGAATTAAAGAATTGAGTTAGGGACTAGGATGTGACCTCAGAGTGTGCTAAAAATATTTTAAAAGTGAGTTTTGAGACCATGGTACGACAGCGATCCATGTGGAGTGGTAACCCCGACTACGGCGGCGATCCGTAGAGGGTTATTACTATTGGTCGTGTTTTGATAACCCCGACTACGGCGGCGATCCGTAGAGGGTTATAACGATATTTTTTTGTTTTGTTTTATAAAAGAGTTTTCAGCTAAGTCTGAGGGGTACTGAATAGTCCTAGAATCTGGACTCGTTTTAAAGAATCGAACAAAGAAAAGTTAGGAGAAGAACGTGAATCGATAGATTGAGTTTTGTTTGAGTTGAATGTTGATTGAATTGTTTTCTATTTGATTGTCTATTCTGGGTACGGATGCGAGGTTTATAGTCTTGCAACCTTACTGAGCTATTCGCGTAGCTCACCTCTTCCTTTTTCTCCACAGGTGAAAAGTGAAGCAGATTATTGTGGTTGGATTCGGTAGTTTGCCAGAAAGACGAAGATTTAGAATTTTTATTTCCTTTATTCAATTTATTCATGAAATTAATATTCAGACTTAAGTTATTGAAATTCATTGTTTTAGACTTCCGCTGTAGAGCCTGATTTTGATGGTTGATTTTAGAATAAATCGGACTTTTTTATAACCTAAGTGACGATTCAACGATATCCGAAATACCGGATTTTGGGTCGTTACAGATGGTATCAGAGCTCACTCTTTCCAACGGACTTTTTAACAAAAATCTTCATATGGTGTTAGCGACTCAGTTTATGGTAAAATAACCATTCTAATATTGTTGCCATGATGTGAACGTAGGATGACACCTGGTCGTGGACGAGGACGTCCAGTCCCAGAGGAGGAGAGATGTGGAAATCCTCCCCAGCCTGATCATATGCAAGAAATGAGGAATTTACTGATGGAGCTCATCACTACTGTGAGACAACAGCACTACAAAAAAAGTGGTCATTTCCAACGGGTAAATCCGTTGGAAATGGCCAAATTTCCGTTGAAAATTAACGTTTCCAACGGATTTCCAACGGATTTATCCGTTGGAATTTCGTCGTTAGAAATCGGTGTCCGTTGGAAAACCGTTGGAATTTTCAACGGAATTTCAACGAATTTTTCCGTTAGAATTTTTCAACGGATTTCCAACCGGCATCCGCGGATTTCCAACCGCAATTTCGGTTGAAAAATTCCAACGGAATTTCCAACCGCAATCCGTCGGAATTTCCAACCGATATCCGTTGGAATTTTCCAACGGAAATTTCAACCACATTCCGTTGG